AAATCGCCAATAGACGGTATTTGGGGTACTTGTATATAAAACAGCCGAGTCGGTACAGTTTGTGTTAAGGTTTGGGACAGGGTGACTGTTTGTACTTGTGTGTGGTCTGCAGTGCATGCGTAGTGTAGGACGGTTACTCATTAGTGGTACCGTAAAAATACACGCGTCCGGGGGCCTGGTCGAATGGGAATTCTTAACGATCGATTCCCGCGCTGTCAAACTTTTATTGTGGTGGAATTTAATCGGGGCGGAGGTAATTTAAACGGGGCGCAACAATTGAAACGTGGGGGGTTTTCCCAAACGGGGCGGGGGCGCCCGGTTTGCGCAACGTAGGGAGAACCCTGAAGAGTAACCCTACTCTTGTTGGGTTACATTATTGTATCTAACCGCCGGTGTACGGTATAGCGGAAGTGGATACGTACTCTGCCGTATCATGTATATGGTTAAATATCCACTGGCACTGCCTATTAAATATATAAATAACACATGTGACATAGCAATAAACAACAACAACAGCATACGTATGTTTTTGGTGCAATTCTATATACCTTATCAGGAATAACTTGTTTTATGAATACCACGAAATCTCCGTTCTGCAGCCGGGACGTTTGTTTTGTGATTGCAAGCCGAGCATGCCTCTCAGTCTCAGTGATACTCATAGTCCGACTAGTCGTTTCACCGCCTATAGATTCATTTGTATTTGTTTCCGTCACGGAATTAGAAATAGCAGTACTTATCGATTGTTTAAGTTCACAAATTAAACCCTGCAAGACGCTAGTGTAAGAGTCCCAAGCTTGATTCATCATAATAAAATTAATGTTGACTTATACCAGAGTACGTATGTAATGCTACCGCAGTTTTACATACTACAGCGCCATCTCTGGGTTACTTTATGAATAAAGAGTCGTTCAGGGGTCGTAAGAAACAGCAAAATAAACCTATTTCACATGTCGCTGGAGAGAACCAATGTGACAGATAGTATTATTAAAATTTTAACAGAGGGTTATGAAACATTATAAACGATGAAAAGCTTTGCTATGTCGTACGATCGTTAAATGCGTATCTTTACTCCGCTCCCTGTTTTCGGAATGCTCAACCAGCTCAACTGTGTGTTCCATTTTATATGCAACACTACTTCCGTTACTTCAGTACCGAAAAACTTTTAACTTCTTAACTTTGCAGTCTTTTGTTTAAAGTTATCTAAAACGTTATTTATGTATTAATATATATACAAATTACTATGTTGATAATATATGGTTAAAGAAAGTGGAGATCACCACTAAGAACCGGTAAAGTGCCTAACAAACGGTTTATGCACCGTAGCACATACCCAGTGACTGGACAGGAAACGGGCTCGACACAACAGCTTGCCTACACGGAAGAAGTAAGTTATTAAATGAATGAAGTCAATTCTAACTAACCTTTCATATAAATCTCTAGAAATAGCGTGATCGGTGTGTTATTATTACTAAGAATACCAGACGAGAAGTTCCCAACATGCGTTGATGCAGATACATCATGGAATGCAGACTTGATAATTGGGTAATATGGTGGAGTTGTAGTACGTACAGTTGTATCAAACTATCATGTATGTGGAATGTAAGGCCCAATCATGGTTTAGCACCCACAACTATAGTCCCAAACTAGGGTTTCGCCAAAATAGTGTCTACTTCACATGAAAGCACAGTGGCACTGTAATAATGGAGCGGCTTGGTATGTTGTGCATTTACCTTATGATTGTCAGGCACCTCAAGTCTAGCCCAAAATTGTCATGATAGAATGTTGATGATGTCATTGTTTGGCCACGATGAGCTGCAAAATCGTCATTTTCGTATGCACGAGTGATAAACATGTATGAACTAGTGTAGATTAAATTTCCTCACAATGATGTTCAAGGGGTGTGGTTATTTTGCGCAATCTGATAAGGCAATTGGGGATGGAAATCTTTTATCATGAACCATCAATATTTTTCCACATAAATCACTAGAAGCCTTCAATAAATATTAATGGGGGTACAGTAGAAATACCATACATGTGTTACAATAACTTGGATTACAGAAATTTGTGGTTTTTGAAAATCTTTGCTGGGATGGATTCAAATCTTCAGCATGGAATTAACGTTTATAAGAGCAGTTCACAATGATCTCACCTGCTGCAGATACTTTGTCTGTCAAAGAGAAGATCCTTAGTAATGTTAGCCAACTTTAGAAGACCTTTTGGCCTCCAGGTTAAAGCCCAAATAACCCAAAGCCAACAATGATGTATATGCAGGGTTCGACACTAACCCACGTCCGACCGACCTAGTCAGGTAAATGCTTGGTCCGGTCGCATACAACCAGAGTGCTAGTAGCCCGACTGGTCGTGTTAGAATTGGTCATATATATTGCACTGAAAGGTCACCTCTGGCTAGACTGGTTCGCGGCCGCACTGTTTGTCGCAGAACGTGTACATTGTCTAGCAGAGCGTGAGGCCAGATACCAGTCTATCCTTCGGCAAAAACAATAACGTGGCTTGCTGCCAGCCGAAGTAGACGATCGATGAACCGTGCGCTCGTGTATGCCTGTGGTAAAATACGAATGCTGCACGTGAACTCGGCCCACGCGCGATTTAAAGCGCGGGAAACAGCATCTATGAATTCATACGATGACACAGTTTTATCTAAATAAAGTTTTTTATAACAATGGTCTGGGTCTGGGCTAGTGAAAGTTAGGGATAGGGTTTTCCTCAGTTACTAGCCCGATGGTCTAGTGAAATAAAAAGTTAATGTTGAACCCTGATATGCATGCTAGCTGGTAAGAGTGCCCCTCAATCTCCCTCTAATTATTGTGATTTTACTATGTTACATCATGAAATAATAAATATATTCGTATAAAAGTGTTAGTTCAAATTTGTAATTGTGCTTGCCTTACTTTTTTGGCTAAAAGAGTTTCTGTAAGAACACATAGATCTCCAAATGTATAATAAAAGTCATTGAGAAAATATCATTTACTTCCATGGATTTTGGGGTTATGAACATTTTTCTGGCGTGCATTACTTCTGTAATGTGAGATATTACTTACTGCACATGCAAGTCTGAAGGTTTAATTTTTACATGTATACTATATATTTAAATTTATACTGATAGGAGTGAGTGTATTGTTTTGAGTCTTACGATATGATAGAGAAAGCATTGTGGATTAGATTTGGATTTACTAACTCCTCACAATTGCAGGTTTATCACATATATAGTAATAAATACAGCTCCGTATTTTTACAACTCATTTCCTTGTGCATTGTCTGTATGCTCATGAAAAGACGCATGCAATGAAACGTTATTATGACATATGCCGGTAATGGTCTTTGCAGGTATATACACACATCCCAAGCAAAATTAAAAGCAGTGCACAAGTATTTCAAAAATGAAAAGATATGTACTGTATTTTCACCTACTAGCGAATATGCTAGTATCACACCAACTTAAAAGTTACTACAATGTTATACTGTTGTAGTACTTATATCAAATAGCAATTGATGTATAGAAGCAGTCACATTTGTCAATGTTACGACAATTGATTTGTAAATTGTGCCACAGACTCAACTGGTTCTGATTCTAGATCTAAGTTCATCTGATTCTGTGACTAGTGACATCTAGACTCAGTCATAGCCGCATCTCTGTCGCTATACTCAAGTTACTTTTAATAAAGGCAGGGGCGGATCTAGCTTTCCGGAGAGGTGGGGGTTGATATTTGAGTGAAGATGTACTGAAGGCACGCTGTGCTAGGGTGGTTTTGTGCTCCACCAATGTGACAGTGTTCAGGATTTGACAGTACAGGCAGCTGTGTGGTCACAGGGGGAAATCCCCAGTTTCTATCAGCCTGCAGACTCACTTTTAGCTCGCCTTGACATTGTCAAGATGAGCTATTGCCATGCGGTGTCGTCCGTCCGTCCGTCTGTCTGTCAACATTTGGCTACGGTCAACGATAACTCAAGAACCGTTTGACCTACATGTTTCAAATTGCATATATATATATAGTTGTTACTCCTATGGGAGAGGTTTGAACGTCCTATTTTGGAGCACGCCAGTCGACCTACTTTCGAGCCACGTCCGCTTTTTGGCAAAAATGGAAATGACCATAAGTCAGTTCAGGTTCAACGGATTTTGCTTATTTCTGGTATGTGAATGAATAAGGACTGGCCCCAAAACATATCACATGGATTTATTTTTTTTTAAATTATGCAAATTAGGTAGATTTTAGCAATTTCACTATGCATTTCAGTGTCTGCCTACGGTCAACGATAACTCAAGAACCGTTTGACCCACATGTTTCAAATTGCATGCAGTTGTTACTCCTATGGGAGAGATTTGAACGTCCTATTTTGGAGCACGCCAGTCGACCTACTTTTGAGCCACGCCCACTTTTTGGCAAAAAAGAAAATGGCCATCTAGATTTATTCGATTTTGTTAAATTTTTGTATATGAATATGGAAGGCCAAACTGCATGCAGCGCCCCCTTCGTACAACTCAGCATTACACTGCCACAAGGCTGGTACTATTTTTCAAGTGGGTGGAGCTCCGGGAAATCCAGCAAATGGCAATCCAACGGCCGCGAAGTCGCCGCCGAACAAAACATTAGAAATTTCTATGATGCATGTTTGTTGGTGGACAAATTTAGATGTTTTAAGCTGAATACGCAAAAATGTATCAAAGACAATGTTCGAGAATTAAGTATATTGGCAAGCATCCGAAAAATTCATGATAAATATTAAATAAACACGTGAACTTAGTTTAGTAAACAGCGTAATGATTTGAAAGTAGTAAATGGGCGCACAATACGCACACTATTTCGTATCACTATTTTATCAAATTTCTCATAAAATAATGGTCGGATTTTTAATATTTTTGCAACTTTTAATAGTACAAATCTTATTACATAGGATACGAGTAACCTGGCCGCTGTAAAACTTGTGGTAAAAAAGCGTTACAAATTATAACGGAAAATCTACTTGTGGCAGTGGTGAATTGAGCCAGAGCGAGAGCGCCATCTGTCGTGGAGTTTGGTGGAAGGCTAGCCACAAAACAGTTGTTACTCCTATGGGAGAGATGACAACATCCTATTACGTTTATTTCGTCTAACTGGTTAAACAACTCTACAATCATACCTATATATGTGTAATATTGTGTTTTAGATTCTTCGTTACAGTAATTTGACTGGAATATTTTATTGTTTTTATTTGCGAGATATTCGAAAACCAAAATGGCGATCATTTAGGCGTAGCGCCATCTCTCGTCAAGATTTCAGACTTTCCGATCTGAAACATTTATTTTCGCATCAAAACTTGTGCATATATCATTATCAAGAGTATATAATTGGAGATATGCTATATATATAATGAGAGTTCTCCCATATATACTCTTGCTTTATATGTCCCCCTCCCTCTTCTATCACACCCAAGGTGAGCTACAGTGTCATTGACACTTTCATTTATTTTTGGCCTCATTTTACTAGTATTATTAACATTAGTCAGTGGCTGGGCAAGGGGGTTGCAACCCCCCCAACCCCCCTCTAAATCTGCTACTGGAAGGGTAGAGACATGGTACAAGTCTATACGATATATCTTTATCTATCTCTTTCTCATGAGATGCAAGAATCACGTGACATAACCAGGAGCCAAAGTTAAGTCGACCTTTCAATCGTTGCATATATTGGTGAAAGTACCGATGTACGAGTGCTCTAAGACACATTAGCAATACTGTAAACACTGTATCGCGGTCATCACGCAGATTTAGCAACGGTTGGAAAAGAATCTAAAATACTGAATTTTTAAGTTGAAATTTGAAGATACCTCTGTTATTTAAGGGCTTTATCTCCCACACTCTTCTG